TTGTGCCTTGATTGCTAGGATGTGGAGCGTTCTTATCCGGTCGGGGAGTGCTAGAAATATTGCATTTGCAAGCAGGGTGAGGCATACAGTATTCGCACGGGATGCGAGCTATTCTCTTGTGAACCAACCAGCCATGCCAACCACCGCGGTGACTCACGGTAGCGTCGCCGCATAACCTATTCGCACCAGGACACAGTTCTGTGCACGTTTCAGCACTACTGCGCGTCGACTCTCTCTGCGCCTTCCTCTGTCAATTCGACCAGCTTAGAAGTACAAAGCGAGTGCGCGCGATGCCGCGATTGGGAAGCGTTCAGACGTCGCGATGAGGCGGACGCAGCCGCTCACGCAGTGATGATCGATTTCTGCCTGATCGACGCACGCCGCTTGTGTTTCGAGCAATTATGGGGAAATAATTAGGTGTTAGGAGCCAGACTGGGCAGCTCCTACGCACGCCAGCGGCAGTGTCGGGGAAAGGATAGGTATCGATACACCATCGTTGTGTCAAACCTATGGGGGGGGTCGTACTTTTGCTCTGGGGAGGGGGGTCGTATTTGTAAGACAAATTTATTGATTTTTTCTTGTGGAAAAGGGGGTCGTATTAATTTTTTATATGCACTATATGCATTTTGTACGCCCGTGGGATATACGTTGCATAGTAATTGTATACCCCGCTCGACAACTTTTTCGCCGACTATATACTCATCGCTCGGCCGTCGGCGAAGAAGCCGTGGAGGCGGAGGAGGGGTCGTGCCTGGACCCCATTCGAAGGGGGGGGGTCGTACTCACACCGACATTTCGCACATCCCCATGCTGTACCCTGGCACGGGATGTATAGGTATCGATCTAGCGCTACCAGCGTTTCACGAGCGTTTCACTAGCGTTTCGCTAGCGCTTGCAGCGGCAGGGCTAGAGAGTGTAGAAGAGTAGGAGAGTACAAAATACTCTCCTACTCTTCGATACTCTCTAGCGTAGGAGAGTATTTTGTACTCTCCTACTCTTCTATACTCTCTAGCGTAGGAGAGTATTCTGTACTCTCCTACTCTTCTATACTCTCTAGCCCCGCCGCTGCAAACGCTAGCGAAACGCTAGTGAAACGCTGGAAGCGCTGCGTTACGCTACGCTGCCGCAAAGTATAAACGCAGCCTTACATCCGAAGGCGAGATCAGCGCTGAAAGCACCCCCACCATGCCAAACACCACCCATATTCGCCCTCATTTTTTTATGTTGTACATGAAATTAATGAAAAAAATCAGCGTTGAATACAGACGTTCTTAAGTGAGCAACCTCTACAGGATGGCCCATAAGAATAGCCACACCGTTCCTCTTTCTGCTCACATATAACACCGTATCTCAGAGAGTGAAAGTCCGTAGCTGAACTTCATTTAGATGTGGCGACAGTGCGCTTCCGAAGGAATATTGCAGTTTCACAACAGTTGCAACCACGACATTGTCCAGAAGATAGGACCACACTTTTATGAAATGGATATACCCTACAAAGAACGTATCCACGCCATGTTCGAGCGAAGTACGCAGCCACGCCCAGTCCTTCACTGAGACGTACAGTGTGATAATATTGCTTCTTTTTCTAGTAGGAGAGACTTGTCTCAATCGAAAAATGATCGCGCGCCTACCTCGATGCTGTTATTCCCTTTGAACCCATAAAAATATTTTTGAGCACTGTCCAAAGACATTGAAACTTTCTTTAAAACGAAGAAACGCGTCAACGAGCACCCGCAAACTAGCCGCGCCTACTCTGTCAATCCCAGAAGGATCTGAACTTAAACAGATAAGATCGAAAACAACTTTAATAATCGAAAACAATGCATAAGATTCCGACTCTGGATGACTTCCTCTCCTTGGCGCTCGTTACAGTGTGGAAATGCATTTCCATAGAAAACGGGTGTTGTTTAGAGATATGGCTGATGTTCCTATAGGACAGATATTGGCGTCCATTTACAGTTGGGCTTCAATGTTCATGTACCTGTACCTGCTCATCAATCTCGTAAGGTGGAGGCTTACGGACAGTGATGATCGTTACGTCTGCGAGCGCGTCGGCAGCTTGTGTTTCGAGCGAAAGGTAGTGGGTGTTAACTAGGTGCGCGGACTGTTATCGTTCAGCACTGCCCGTTAGCGATTCGCGTTGTAGCTTTGGAGTGCTGATGCGATTACAGCGAGTCGACGCGCCTAACAGCGCGTTGTCGCTAAGTTTAGACGCTGCCTATTCACCACCTGAGGGGCGACTACGGCGCTGAACAAAATGTATCACAATGTGATGTTTACCTCCAGTTCGCACACGGTGGCTTATTTATAAGCGAATCTCAGATTCTAACACCACCCTAGCTTCACTGGTTCCCGCCCGGGACGCTCGTACCATTTCGACAGTGGATGACCTCCTGTACTCCTTGTGCGCTCGTTACAGTATGAAAATGCATTTCCATAGAAAACTGAAGTTAGATAGTTTAGAGATATGGCTCATGTTCCGACAGGACAGATATTGTTGTCCATTTACAGTTGGGCTTCAATGTTCATGTACCTGTACCTGCTCATCAATCTCGTAATATGGAGACGTCAAAGGAGTTCTGGGAAGAGACAGTTCAAGGCATCCTACTACTTACTTTTCATGCTACAGGCCATTGCTGACTTTTATTTGTTCCTTTCTATCGAGCTCATCCAAAAACCGGCACGTTTCAACTATTTCAATCTCGAACTGGATCAAATGCACAATTGGGCTGTTATTTCGTATGCTAACCTGGTGATAGCCAGCTCGCTGATCAACTGCGGTCACATTCTTATCGCTTTGAATCGACTGACTGCATTCTTTAGACCACATAGCTACGAAATGGTGAGCGCTTTTTCTTGATAAAAACCAGAATTAGACAAATCCTATAATGCCTGTTCCATTTCCCATTTACATTTAATTGGAGACGAGGATGGCAAGAGGCAACTAACGTTGCTCTGACAGTACGGAGATCTAACAGGTAATGGAAGTCTTTGTCGGAACGATTGGATCCGATTGCAGCGGTTCAAATCGGGCCTTCAGGAGTACAGGGGGAGGGCCAAAAAAAGTCATTCCGGCCGAGTCACATATGAGCGAAGTTTTCGCAGCCCAGACAGAGGAAGTGGATATGAGTACCAGGGCGGAAGATACCCAAGATCTTCCTCTATAAGCTGGAGCAGGCTGCCGCCAATCGCCTTCATGTACGCCAAAATATGAAGTCATCTCCAGTCGCGGCCTGACTGGAGAACACCTTTGGAATTCACGTCGCCTCCAAACAGCTGCGAAACTTCTTGAATGAAGTCATCCACAGATAGCTACCTGGAGGTCAGTACTCTTGATCTGCAGAGCAGCTCCGGCAACGTCGCTACGGTCTAGGACATCATCTTCACCGTATTCGCCGAGGCGCGAGTTGATGGTATGGACCGGGGTACCTGGAAAGGGGAAGACCGATATTTTCTTTGTAGACCCCGACTGAAGGTGAGCGCTGGCGGTTACATCAAGTAACTCGAGAAGAATATCCTCCCTACATGTGGTCGCCCGTACCTTCTTGGAGACCTTGTGCTGCTACAGGTTTGGGTGCCACCACATGGAATCGAA